GAAAAGTGCACCTAAAATGTAAGCAGTGATTTTCAAATACTTTTTAAGTTATGCAATGTGAATGGAAACATTACCTCCAATACCAGACCTTCCAGTCAGAGGGAGATCTCCCTCTGACTGACAGTGCAGACGGAGCATGGAGCCAGCTTCCTAACCAATCAGGAAGCCGTGCAGCATGTAATGACCCGCCTCACAGCTTCCTGAATGGTCAGGAAGCCAGGCTGCCTAGGAACAAGTGAGGCCGGCTTTCTATCCAATTAGGAAGCCTGTAGGCGGGTCATGACGTGCTGCCCGGCCTCCAGATTGGCTAGGAAGTCAGATTCACTATTTGGTAGGCAGCCTGGCTTCCTAACCAATCAGGAAGCCAGGCGGCACATCATAACACGTGTCCCGATTTCCTGATTAGTCAGGAAGCCACGCTGCCTAGAAACAAGTAAAGCCGCCTTTCTAGCCAAATCAGGAAGCCAGGAGGCGGGTCATGGCGTGCCGCCCGGCTTCCTGATTGGCTAGGAAGCCAGCTTCACTTATTGCTAGGCAGCCTGGCTTCTTGACTAATCAGGAAGCCAGACCGCACCTCATGACTCGCCACCAGGCTTCCTTATTGGTCAGGAAGCCAGGCAGCCTCTGAAGCTAGTGTTCTTTTGCTAGAACACTGGCTTCACAGGCAGTCAGGAAGCTGGGCGACAGGTCATGTTCCGCCACCCAACTTCCTGATAATCGGGGCACAATGTAGCAGTACTCGTACTCGATACCGAAAAACCAGTATCAGTTCATTCCTAATTGTATACTATACTTTTTTATTTTATTCTTTATCTTTTTGTGTTATGGACACTGCCATTCATGTATGTGTACTGTTGTTGCTCTATTGCTATTGTTATTGGAAAGTGAGAATTAAAGGTTTGAGAAAAAAAAAAAAATGCAGTGACATGGGGTTATGAGTTTTTCTTTTGTGCAATTTTAAGAAGTATTCCAAGATGGTTGTGAAAAGTGTATAAAAAGGATGCAAGTCATTGTTAAGAAAAGAAGGATCAACTGAGGACAATCAGCCAGTAGGTGTGACTCCTAAAATAAATATATATTCTGTAAAACTTGCTATTCCAACTAAGGGTCATATAAAGTCTAATTTCTGCCAAGTGGAAGTCCCCACATTTACTACATACAAAAAAACGATTCCAGTTGCTTTTAGTATTGAATGTTGCTAACTTGCTAAGCTTTTAGCATTCAGTGCAGACATCAGAGGTTAGCCACCACATCAAGTAAATCTTTCTAATAATCGTAGCCCCCAAAAGCAGACATAAATATTACATTCCAGAAGACTCTGCCCTTTAGAAAGTATAAGGATAGGTTTAGACCTTTGCAGGAGTGTTACCGCATGCACAATAAGGTGCGGTAAGTCCTGCATTAATGTGCATTGTGGTAAAGAAGCTCATTTATTCTGAACAGGCTGCCGACGCATCACAACATGATTTGTAGCAGAACATTTCCAGTGCACCACAATGCTGAAATGGTTCAGATCTGTGTATTGTGGTGCACTAAAACACGGGTCCGTAGTGCATTGGGGATGTAGGTTGGATGCCATTCAGAATGAATGGGAATGCACTGCACCAGTTCACAGAGATGACTGCATACTGAAAATAAAAGATAATCATTAACAGAAAATGTTCCACTAGTGTAGAGAAAGTAGGAAACTTCTAGAAATAGTCAAGTGTAGCAGCTTTCCACTTTCTCTCTACCCCATTGCTAATGTGGTTCATTATATAATTGACTCAAAGAATGCTAAAGAAAGGTCGATGAAATACACAAGACTCAATCATAGGTAAATATAAAAATGTATTCACATTTTAAAGCAGATCTGACACATTTTATAAAGTTGAGTTCCTGAGGTTCTATAAAAGATCAAAGATGGACCCCTAGAGCAGACACTGAATTTTGCTTTAGCAAGCACCCCAAATGAATTGGTAAAATCCCTTTACCGGTTCACCAAGTAAACCAATTTGCCCAGTGGATCGGTGGCCCATAGAATACATTCACTTGTTAACGAATCAGTCACATCCCAGTTCAGGTGAATTGATCAGCTCACCATTAAACATAAACATGTATTATTTTCTTTGGTCCTCTTTCTTGGAATTCGGTCCAGCAGCCTTCTATTTCTTGGCATGTTTCTTGAAAATCTCAATGTACTCCTTCACATCTTCTGTAGAGCCCAGGGCTATAGGCATTCTCTGGTGAATACTCTCTGGAACTATATCCAAGACATTCTCCAGTCCATTGGTGGCCATTCCTCCAGCCTTCTCCATAACATAGGCCATGGGATTGCACTCATACAGAAGCCTTAACTGTAAGGTAATATGACAATAGGATAAGGTAGTAAGATTGAATAATGAATAATATACTGGAGATTAAGATTTGTGACATGTTAATAGCATTTAGGTTTTAAAGTACACTTGTCATGAAAGAAATATGTAGACTGTCACTGATGACTTATCCTAAAGATGATAGCTGGTTGTCATACTAACCCTTTGGTTTCAATATCTTTGGCTTCTTGACCCAGAACAAAATATTCATATAAGGGCTTCTTTTTCTATCTTTCCTGATCTGCATTTTTGTTTTAGTGACAGATATGAACAAATCGGTTTTTGTGGGAGTTAGAACTTGCAGCTGACCAGAGAGGTTTGCTCTAGTCACGCTGGTTCACTTGGGGAGCTGCTAAGATCCACTTACTAATTCATTTTCCTAAGCAGAGAGCACAGTAAACATGACTCAATGCATGTAATTACATTGCACATTATATATTAACAAACAGTAGTGTACATCTAAAAGTAAAGACCATGGCACTGTCACTGTCAGAAATTACCTTTCCCTTTGGGCTCTTGGAGTTTGCAGGATATAAGAAGATTCCTCCATAAACAAGTGTTCGGTGAACATCAGCCACCATGGAACCAACATATCGTCCTCCATAAGGTGAACTTCCATCCTATTGCAAGAGAAAAAAAAATACAGAAAATCTAACACAAATGTAGACCACTGCAGAGGTGAAAAAAACATTTGTGGGTGTAACCAATAATTACGGTCACCCATGTACCTGTTATTGCTAAAGGGGTATGTCCTTTAACTGTATACTTTGTGCTGCTCTTTCCCATCTCAGGAACACTTGAAGGTATTGAAACCTATGCTATGTAGTATTTTATCTGGCACTACTGCTAAATGGCAGACTGGGAAATTCTGTGACATTGAAGAACAAAAGAACCTGCTTCATGTTTCCTCTCCGTTTCCAAATGTGGTCATCTGCCAGGCAGAGCTCACACAATGAAGTACAGGGCCATATACTGACAATGATGCAGATGATTCAGCTAATTCTTTTATGTGGACTTTTTTGCCATTCAAAAAATACTTTCAATCTGATGTTTTGACAAAACTGTCCCCCATAATGCACTCCTCCCTGAACCTGGTAGGATGCATTGCTTTCAGTGAAGACAGACTTGGGACGGGACATTCCATATTTCCAAAGCCGCACAGCCGCGCCAAGGCACCTCTATGTAGTGCAGTCCTAACTCTAACCAATGAGAGTCTACATATAAAAAGATAAAATTGGGTGCAGGTTCAACAGGAGGCAGCCCAACCCCCTTAAAGGCACAGGGACACACAAGCTGCTGTTGTTATTTGCGGGGTCCCTTGTGTGTCCCTGTGCCTCTGAAGGAGGTTGGGCTGCCTCCTGGCGAACCTGCACCCAATTTTATCTTTTGCTACATGTGCTCCAAGATGGAGACTCTCATAGGTTAGAGTTAGGACCGCACTATATAGAGGTGCCTTGATGAGGCAGTGCAGCTTTCACATATTCTGCAGAAGACGTGTATCTACCTCTACCTCTGTTTTTAACCTTAGCTTTTAGACAAGTTTTTTGTTGCATGCTGGCTGTTGAGTGTGCTGGGAAACATTTTGCTGTTGCATTGTTTAAAGCCCTTCCATGTGCACCTTGCTTTAAAGCTGGTGATAAGTTGATGAGTGCGTTTGCCATTTGTTTTGCATGGGAATGATTCTGATGCAGCTCTCTGACAATTTAATCCAAAACAGAGACAGAATAATTAACTAGCTCACACCATCAGGCCATTGATTTGTCCAGGTTGGTCAATCAATGGACACAAGCTATTGTTTTCTGTTGAGTACGCAGAGTTAAGCCAGTTCTCCACATCTTCCTCTATAGGACTCTCCAACATATACTCATTATTAATGGGGCAGTCAGACATCTTAACGCATGGGTACCTCCACCTCTACTTAACCATGACAGTTCAATCCTGCCAACATAACAGTTCCCACTATGATGTTGGGATCTGGGGGTTCCTGGTTCAAATCTCAGTCAGGACACTATCTGGAAGGAGTTTGCATGTTCTCCCTGTGCTTGTGTGGGTTTCCTCCGGGTATTCCGGTTTTCTCCCACACACCAAAAACATGCTGGAAGGTTAATTGGCTATTGTCTAAGTTGTCCCTGTATGCGTGTGTAATAGTGACGTTTGATTGTAAGCTACTTGATGACAGGGACTGATGTGAATGTGCAGTATGTAAAGCACTGTGAAAATTGTTGGCACTATATAAATACCTGTAATAAATAAACAATCGAGGGTTTGGGTACCTTCATCTCTGCTTAACCCTGCTTAAATCATCATATCTGCATAGTTTACCATATGAACATACCTCTGGGAACTTCTTCTTCTGGAGATATTCTGTAACGGCTGCATCAAAGTATTTGGCATAGCCTTCATTTAAACTGTAGATATTGCCTCTTGGATTAACCTTCACGTTTCTGTTAACCAGGATGAATTCCCCGATCGACTAGAAATTGATAAAGTAATATATACAGTCACCACACCTTAAAATGTACAGTTCTGTTTACATTTAATAAATTAGATAACACTTAAAGGGATGTGTAGTGGTTTAGCAATGTTTTTTTTTTAATTATTATGTTCAAGACATAAAAATACAAATTTTAAACTATTTTTCTAAATTAAAAATATGAAATATTGCATGTTAATATTTTGCCTTCTTTTGATCTAGCATGTGGATTCTTTTCACATATTTCCAGGTTCCCAGGTTCTGTTTAACAAGCCTGAAGTTTACAGACATCAATTGCTTAAGCTGAAATGTACACAGAGATGTCAATGACCCAGTGGCTCAACCCTTATTGGATGGCTCTTGCCAAGGTTTCAATCAGAATAAGGGAGCCAGTGCTGTGCTGTCTTTGCTGTGTACTAAATGTTTATTTGTAAAAGAGTGTGTGTGTGTGTATTCAGCATTGTGGCACTTCCATACAATGCATAACCTGCTGCTACAATGTTACGTCCTGGTTGCAAAGCATCTTTTTCATTAGGCTCATCATCTGACACCTGGAACATAAAACAATTGAACTGGTGAACATTTTGACAACATGACAGTCATTGGCTAAATTAAAAGAGAATGCCTAGTGGTTCTATACATTTTTTTTCATAATTGTCAACACTAAAAAAAAATAAAAAGCAAGACAATAAGCAATTCAGATCCAATTACTTATAGTAGCTCTATGTTAACTTTAAAATGAGTGAACTGATCTTGATGTCAGTCTGACTTGGGTCACGCTGATTAGATGAAAGAGAATATCCAGCAATTTCAGACAATCCAATTTGTTCATTTGTTATCTTAACGTTTAAATTGATTTTGAAGAAGCAT